AACCTCTCATTTTACCTCTAGGATCAAGAATGAATGCAAATGAATACAGCAGAGGTATGTCCTTCCAGTATTTTAGGTATTTAAGCTTCATAGGATAGACAATAGAAAACAGATTCTGATCCTTTGAACTTTCATGCAAATGAGTTATAATATCTAGCAGATGGTGCAGAATAAGTGGACTAGTTGGATAGTAAACACCAGAAAGAGTGACTGTGGAGTCATAAAAAACTTCCAGGAATTCAAGTATTTTATCAGCAATATACCAGTGACTTGCAGTTAACAACGTTGAGCCATAGTTGGAATTAATGAACACAGAAAAAATATCCTTATATGGAAGCAGGTGTTTAAGCATAAGATATGTAGCATTTCATCTAATATCCATATCCAAACTAAACTTTCTAGGTCTAACACCCTTAGCAATGCAAAAGTTTTTGAACAAAGCAATCCTTTGATTAGATGAATTCAAAAAGTTAATAGCAGTTCTGAAATCCTCAGTGTAAGGTTTGAACATTTTTAAACCAGATTTTACTATCAAATTAATAATATGGTAAGCACAACGTTGATGCACAAGGTGCAGGTGCAGGTTCAGAACCCAGATAACCAGCAAACATAGGTGTCAATGTTTCCATAGCCTTAGCATTGAAAGAAGCATTATCAAGAGTAACAGAGAACACCTTGTCAAGCAAACCAAATTCTTCAATCACACAAGCAACTTTTTCTGCAATATTCTCACCAGTATATTTTACCTCAATCAAGCGGAGACCAATTACCTTTTTCTGCAACTCCCAGTCAGCAGTCACATAATGAGCAACACTGATATAGTCTTCCTTTGCATTACCAGACCAAATGTCTGATGTCAGACCAACAGAAGAAGCACCAGACAACACACAGTTCTTAATTATATTACGTCGTTCGTTAAAAAGTTTGCCAAGATCTCTAGCGGTGGTCTATCTAGAGACCTTAACAAACCTAGGATTATGAGCTCTAACAATGTATTCTTCCCAAGCATCAGTCTCACCAATTACTAAAGGCAGATCAAGCTTAGAAATCAAACGATATAATTCAGATCTAGCAACTTCAGGTTTATAATCCCAGTTATAAACAGAACCATCAGGATTGTATGAAAGCCTAGATTGAACCCTAGCACGTTGATGAGTTTTAATCCTACATGATTTTTGGTGCCTTTTTAAGTGACCAGTGCCAGCAGCAGATCTAGCAGACAAGGTAGATTTGAACATCTTACAAACAGGCTTGGTGTAAATTCTAGAACCATTAATAACCTCATAAATCTCCTCAAAATCAGCCCACACAGGCGATTTGCGCTTACTAGTGTTACCTATACCAGCAACCGAAGGAGCAGAGCCGTTGGAGTTCGCAGTCGCCGTCGCCCCTTCGCCACCGTCTGCGTCCACATCGATCGGAGCAGCAGAGTCGTCCTCAAGATCGATATCGAACAACGCAGCAGCGTCGGCTCGAGTGTCGTCGTCGTTCTCGCCCTCTGGGGCCAGGCCAACCGGCAGGAGGCCATCCTCATCGGCCATGGCCGCCTCTCTAGCCCCGTTCCTCGACGGTGCGGGTGGCCACCTTGCTCGCTCTAAGCCACAGCTAGAAGACAATGCATCGGCTATCGACCGGCAAAACAATGGAAGAAGAAATCAGAAGCATACATTGAAAGAAAAAGAAGAAATTAGAACATGGTTAGGGTTAGGGTTTCACCTGCGCAGCCAGAGCCCAGTGCCGGAGAAGACGACGAGCACCCAGAGTCCGGAGAAGACGACACTCAGTCAGCAACGACGGCGGACGACGGAGGAGGGACAAACAGAGACAACCAACTCACATAATCAACGAGATCTAGAGGGGAGGGGACCAGGTAGGACTTAGTAGTAGGGAGTTGCTTGTCGGCGATAGGTGGGGTTAGGGTTAGGGTTACGGATGTACCTGCGCAACCAAAGCCCGGTGCCGGAGAAGACGAGGGCCACCCAGAGAAGACGACACACCGATTAGAAGGACGGCGAGCGACGGAGGAGGGGCAGACGGGACACGAACTCACATAGTCACCGAGATCTAGAGGGGAGATAGGGATAGGGAGAAGGGAGAGGCGGAGAGGGAGCAGGGAGGGGATCAGGTAGGAGGAGTAGGGAGTTGCTCGCCGGCGGTAGGCGGATCGTCGAGGTCACCTCACCGGAGTCGAGGAGGACGAAGCCGAGAGCGAGACTACGAGGCGAGAGCAACGAGGCGAGGCGATAGGCGAGCGAGTGAAATGAACTAGGGTTTTCGGGTGTGAGCCGCCGCAGCCGCGGCGTGAGTTTATATATGAGGAGGGGGGAGGCGGGGAGCTGGGCCGCGCAGCGCGCTGGGCCGCGGGGAGGCCGGGAGGGGAGGAGTCAGTGGAGGAGTGAGGAGGGGGAGGGGGTGGCCGGGCTGCTGCCGGGTCGGCTAACTCAGGCCGGGCCGTGCCAGCCCACGGGCCTGAGCAGCGGCCCAGGCACGGCCTGCTGCCTCGGGCCGGGCCAGCCCGGGCCCGCATGTCACCGGGCTGTGCCTTGCTCGTGTCGGGCTAAAAAAGTAGGCTTCGTGCCGTGCCGTCGTGCCTCGGGCTGCATGGCCAAGTATAGGCTCACGTCCTCCCCTTCGCCACCGTCGAGGAACCGCTCCGGCCAGAACTCCTCAGGGTCTGTCCACGCCTTGGGGTCCCTCCCGATGTCCTCTGCCATGAACATGAAGCGCACCGGCGTGCCATCTGGCGGCGGGAGTGGGACTGCTCTCCCAACCTACGTTGCTGCCGTGATCTCAGGTAGTCCGACGACATCACGCAGGATGAATGGCATCGGCGGGTGCAGCCGCAGGCTCTCGAGGATGACAGCCCATAGGTAAGGTAAGTCTTGGAAGCTCCGCTGGTCACCGCCGCTGAGCTCATGGTGCAGCTTCTTCTGGACCTCCGGATGCGCGACGAGGCGCGACGGCGTCCACTCGACGCGACGCCGCCACCGTCTCGTGCTCGCTCCGAGAACTCCCAGATGAGCCTCACCATCTCGTCGTCCCCTAAGCGCGCGCCCCCGAACGGTGCCATTGGGACGGTTCGTCGTCGTCGTTGTCGGGCACGCGAAGGTCATGGAGCGAAGTCGACGTCGACCGGACACCGCTGGCGTTGTTACACCGGAGCTGCCGCCGCGCCGCGATAAGCGGCGGGGCGAAGACCTTGGCAGCAGCCGCGCGCGTGCCGACCAGTGTCGCCATTGCCTCGGCAGCTGAGCCTCGCCCGCCACCTCGAGGTCGACAGTGCTGGCGCCCACGCCGGAGTGGAAGAACTTCGCGCGGCGTCGCGCACATATGGCGCGAATGTCGCGCTTCGCCGACACCGTCGCCGAAGCTTTATCGCGCGCCACCACCTTGAACACAACGGGCGTCTGTGGCGTCGCGGACGGCGATGACCACGCGCGCCATCACCCGCCTGCCTTTCGGCCGCCTCGTGCGGCGATGGCGGCGGCGTAGCATCAGTCCACGACGAGAGCCTCGGACGGCGTCGCTATTTGGAAGCGGTGCGAGGTGGGTGAGGCGCGAAGGGTGGAGGACGCCGGCGGTGAGGTTGCACCGAACGAGCGCGCCGAGCGGGCCGAGGGGGGCGTTTATTTTCTTCTGCTGGTTTTGGGGTGCCCGGCGTCGAGGTCCACGAGGAAGGGCACGGCGGGGTGGTTGGAGAAGGAGTCGGCGTGGTCGATGATCATGCGCCGGGCGGCCTCGGGGTCTCTGACCTCGATTGTTGCCGGGACTGGCACGGTGCGGCGCGTGTTGCCTACGCAGTGCCTGCGGCTGCGCAGGGAAGCGGCGGCGGCGAGGAGGACAAGCACGGCCAGGGCACCTGCATCATTTCGTCGTTCAAAAAATTTAAATTTTAAATTGTGAGGACTTCAAACTGAATTTTGGGACAAAAGATTATCTCAAATGAAAAAAGTTATCAACCGCAATTTGTAGGTCTTTTCGAGATCTTAACTTTAGTTATGGCCATTTCTCCGTACGAAGTCGTTTGAACAATTAAAAAAAGTTGGGTTTCAAAATGTGAGAAATTCAAAAAGGAATGAACCTAAATTGTTTCAAATGGAAAAGTAATGAACTATAAACTTGTATATCTCATATAAAATTTATCTTCAACCGATTTTGTTTGAAAAAATTAGAAATTTTAGGCAAAATTTGCTGGTGGACACTGAAAATGAAGTTGCTTTGCTAGGGGACACTGAAAATAAATCAACTGGCTAGTGGACACCCTACTTTGATCGAAATTTACTGGAGGACACCGAACGCATTAAAATATTTATTTATGGCTCAAGGGGTGAGAGAATAGCTATCAAATGACGATGTTGCCCCTAGGTCAGGAAGAAGAAAGAGCTAGGGGAAAAATTATCATTTCAATGATGTTCTCTCACCTCCTAGGCCAGGAATGAATATTTTAATGCGTTCGGTGTCCTCCATTAAATTTGGTATAGAGTAGAGTGTCCACCAGTAAATCGATTTATTTTCGATGCCCGCCGGAAAAACCACCTTACTTTCAATATCCACCAGCAACTTTTGCCTAATTTTTATTATGTTGCACCTATTTTTAGATATAGCTCTAGATTCAGCTGTCTCTACAACTCATTTTTTATGGGCAGCTCTAGATTCAGTCGCCTCTAAAATTAAGTAGGACATCATTAGAGGCAGCTGAAAATAAATTTTCAGAAGATGTTTTTTTTAATTATTTTTGGAGGTGATTTTGGCGACAGAGCCTTCTCTACATTTTTAACTGAAGGTGTTGTTACAGATCAATTCTGCATAATGCTCCCAGGCAGGTACGGGCAAGCACACGTTTAAAAAAGAAGAAAAGCTCTAATCGTGATCTTGCTTTGCAGGCCACCAAAAAAGATTTCAGATTTGAGATGCTGTGGACCATGTCGGTGGTTGCGCAAGGCTAGCTAGCTCGATCGGGTAAGCTCGCCCTGCGCTAGCGAGTGGGACATGGTACCTTACTATTCCTGTTTTACTCTAGGTCGCGCGGCTAGAAATGGAGCCCTGAGGCGGACGCCGCGGACGTAAAAAACACGGGGAAAGAGCGGCGCCGCGCGCTCGAGCGGGCTGGAAAAGAGCGGCGCGATGCCCTCGCGCGGGAAAAGCAACAGCGCCGCGCCTACACCTCCCGCCAAAGGCTCCCAATCCCCATCGCGTCTGAGAGAGAGGAAGAGGGAAAGGAAGGAGAGAGGAAGAGAGGAGAGGGCGGCGACGCACCTCAAATCCGGCGGTGGCGGCGGTGCAGGCGACTGCCCCGCGCAAGTCCGTCCCAGCAGCGCGAGGCCGCATGTCCGCGCGACTCTACTCCGCTGCTGAGGCCGCCCGCCCCGTCCGCGTGAGGCCGCCCGTCCGCGCGACTCTGCTCCGCTGCTGAGGCCGCCCATCCCAGCCGTGCAAGTCCGTCCCGTCCGCGCGACTCTACTCCGCTGCTGAGGCCGCCCGTCCCAACCGCGCGAGGCCGCCCGTCCACGCATGTCCGACTCCGGCGCCGTTCGCTTCTGCTCTACTCCGCTCCGCGACTTGTTTAACAGGTAAAATACTACTGGCTTGCTATACAATGTCTCAATCTCTCTTGCTGCTGCCTCTGAGTTAGCAGCTTCTAGGGTCCAGATCTCCTGCAATGCATGTAGGCAATTGGCAACTACCTGCAAGTCACCGATATAATCAGCTTATCTCAGAAAAGCATAGTATTCAACAAGATAGCATCCAATCATTCATCAGTTGTGATGTCCTATGAAAGGTTAGAGTATGTGTCTGGCGTCGCCTCGCCGCGCGCCTAACTCGCCTAGGCGTCTGGAAGGGGGTGGAGCGCCGCACCTCACCCTACCGCCTTAAAAACTATGATGTTAACTTTCCAAAAGAGACATAATGCAGCAGACTCACATTGTCAGACGCGACAATTTTTGGGTCTGTTAAGTGTCCTAGGGAAGCATAGATAAACTATGTCATCATCACTGAACAACCACTCATTATTATATAGTGAAAAAGCACATGAAGGTCACCCTTACCGTAGAGTGGTGAACAAGAATTTGGAGGGCAGATGCTTGTTAGAGAATTTTCCAAAGCAGATAAGGGAGTGCCCATCTTAGAAACTGAAGCATTTTCATAACCTTGAGTTAATACTGCCAGTTTTTGCTGTGGTTCTCTCATTGATCTTTTTGCACAAGAATACTCGGCATCATGATCATGTTCATCACCATTAAATGGCACCAGAACATGTGACTTCGGACGTTTTCCAGATGCAAGTGCCTGCCTGAAATTGGCCTGTGTCTGTGCAAGTTATATGGCACATCAGATTGCATAAGGCAAATGTCGAAAAAGTGTCATATAATCTCAATACTTAAGACAATGCTACCACACAATAGAATCTGATGGAGTGCTAAATTACACAAAGTTTTTTCCCCATAACATGTCTAGGCACATGTTTCATTAATTGGCCTGTGTCTAGTATAATTTTAATATTTCGTTTGGATTTTACAGTGCAAATTTTACTGTCTTGTGGGGTGGCATGGCCCCTGCTCAAATCCCTCACTCCAGGGAATGGAGTCGAGGAGCAAACTAAAATAATCGTTAGATCATATTCCAGTGCTTGACAAGTTTACTTCACAGAAATTGTCGCTATATGAAAATGCAGTCTCTGTGAAGTGTGAACACAAGCTAGAAGGGTGCCTTATTGCACAGAGCTAGAAGGTAAAAATCTAGATGTTTAATTGTGAGATGAGGCAAAACATCTCACAGAGATGAAAATCTTCATGTGCCTAATTCAGCAGTGGTCTAATTAGTTGCTAGATCTTACAGATCTCTAGATATTTGACGTTTCTAAATTCTTGACACATGTTTCTGAATTAAATGACAAGACAACACATCTGCAATTCTTCCTCAATTTCTGTTGTGTCCTGTCTTTGCTGGTGGTACCTAGATATTTCGGTGGACTCCGAAAGGCCACAGAATGTGATGACTGTACAGGCTAACTTCATTTCTTTTTATTTGACTAATTTTGTAATCACTAGTTTTCTATGCAACAGAAAGAGCATCTGAACATGGAGACAGCAGGATTATTGTCCCATGTTACCTTGGAACAATTTCACTAGTATACTTTTTAACAATACACTGTAAATAGAATTTAACGATACACTGTTTTTCAAGTCGCTGCAATGACAAAGGAACAATAATTGTCATAAGCAAAACAAATAACAACAATCATAGCTTGTCCGTGGAGGGATTTACATTTGTGCATTCCTGTTTATGGTGAGCTATGTGCTTTTGGTACTATTTTTCTTCTTGAAATGTCATGTCCTGTGTACTGTACTACTGTGTAGTGTTAAGACTCATATGGTTTGAAATATCATGTTCTGTGAAATTATTATTGTTTTTTCTACATAAAATGGCCACAAGTTGTGTTGAATAAGAAGTTACTATTATTGTGTATAAACTGTACATCTGTGACAAATCCATCCTGCAACTACTTGGTTGCCTGCATGATAGTGGCAAAAGTATTCAAAAGGCATATGGCTTAACATCTTATTGTCTTCTTTCCAGAAAAGCATATAGCGCCAGAAGACTGGGTTCATCTTACTGTCTTCTATTAAAAAAAAGGGATATTGCTTAACATTGATATAGTGACATGGAAATTACCAAAGAGTTGTTTTTGATTTTGTTACATACGTGCACAGTGCACTGCAAGTAAAAAGGAAAGGCCTTATTACTTTTTACAGTTGCAGAGTTATTATCTCTCAGTTGTTGTTGCTTGAATAGTTGAATGGTGACGTCTCAGTTTTGAAATTGCAGGAGAGCCTAACGAAATTCCAGGAGAGGGCAACCGAGCTGGGCTGGGGCTTCATATTACAGGCCTGGAGTTCTGATTATCAGAGTTTCTATTTTTGAACTGCACTGAAGAAAGAAGAGGCTTCGGATTTTTTATTTACTACTTCATTGTGTTGTTGCTGTCAAAGACTTATTACCCTAAACTTTTATGAAGAGACTATTTTAGTGTTGTTGAGGATTCCATCAATATTCAAAAGCACTGTGAAGTATTGATTTAACTCACTAAAACAAGCTAAGAGTTCTTGTTTATCTCAGATGATGTAATCTATATTTGATCATGCATATATCTTTCCTAGATATCTTTTTAGTAGCAATAGTGGACACTATCAGTCGCCTGCATTACGGAATTAGGCAGGCAAGTACTAACTACTAAGTACAGTGTAACTAAGACAAGTAAGCATATTGAGCTGTGAGTTTTGTGGGCTATATGTATGCGGGGTGCGGGCTTCCGCTAGTCTACCACCAAGTCCACAAACACAAGTTGAGCCATCAGAATTGATTAGTGGACAGCGGCATACCAACTGTATTAGCTTTGTGCCAAACTTTGTGGGCTTGCTAACTAAAATAAAGCAATAAGAGTTAAAAAATGGGGGTTGTTGTATTACCTTGGCGCTCAGTTCTCCGGTGGAACTCGTTCTCCGGTGGCAAGTGCCGGCCAGCCTGATAAACTGCCAATGCAGGTACTCCGAGCGGCCACCCTCCTCCCATTTCTGATCGGAGTACTCCACGATGTAGCTGAACTCATCGATTACCTTCCCCACCTTCGCAGGGAACCACATCTCCCGTTCCCTCACAACCTCCACCAACTCCCCGACCATGTACCTCCTGATTTCGCGCTTGGGGCGGACGGCGACAACCGCCCGCGACGGGACCCAGTCGCCGTCGACATAGTCGCGTCGGGGCCGGACGAGGCGGGGCACGTACGTGATGACCTCGCGGGTGATTGGGAAGGCGACGGTGACGGACCTGGGGTCGGCGGAGAGGACGAGGCTGGACCACCAGCCGCGTTCGTGGAAGACCTCGATGACTTCGTGGACGAGGAAGCACGGCGGGGATTCCGGAGCCGGGGGCCGCGGCCGGACGTGGGTGGGGGCGAATCGTCTGATGTCACCGTCGCCGTCGCCGTCGAAGGTGACGCTGTACCGCGCCGGGGCGTGGCGGCCGCCGGCGGCAGCGAAGCCCACTACGGTGGCCTTGAACCAGATGCCGTAGTAACCCTTGCCGTCGAGGCGGACCTCGACCTCGGCGCCGGGGGGCAGGAGGCCCATCTCCCCGGTAGGGGATGGATCCGGAGAGCACAGGGAGTACGGTGGCTGAGGCCGAGCCTCCCGCTGAGTGCTCCAGTTCTGTCGACCGCGGCGGCGGCGGCCCGGGAGCGCCGGGGAGCGGCCGGTCGCCATGGGTTTAGGGTTTTCGCAGGTGATTTGGGCGTAAGGATGGCAACCGGCATGTACGGGTATCGCCGCAACGTTCTCTTCTCCGCTACGGAGAATTCATTCCGTCCCTATCCCGTTAACTATCTCGGGTATAGATTATTGTTTATCTCTGTACCCATCGGGTATTGGTCGGGTAACACATACCCGATGGGTACTGCATACCCGATAAACAAGGACACTTGGGGTCGCAGCTTTGCAATCGGAGACGTTTCTTCTTCACCTGGGTATAAGTGTCGGAGTCTCGGAGATGTCGAGGAGAAGGAGCGAGGTTACGAGGAGGACGAGCAAAGGTGGCAGAGAGACCGAACTGAGGAAGCGAGGGGCACGAGCGCTTGTGAGGCAGGCGTGCTTGTGCTGCTAGCAGAGATGGTGAGGAAAAATTGAACTAGGGTTCCTAGAACATACAAACTATATATATATATATATGATTGTTCAGATTTGGACCAAAATACCTATGTTGAGCTTCTTTGGGCATAATACTCGCATGACAGCTCAAATAGTCAGGTTCCCCAACGAGTAACGGGGATGGGTAAACAGGGAACGTTCCCGTATCCGCTATACCTGTCGAGGATGGATTCTTGCCCATTTAGATGCCCGCGGGTAAAGATATGATCACATCCCCGTCCCCTAATGGATCAAATACCCGTCGGGTATCGGGTATCGGGGCCCGTTGCCATCTTTATTTGGGCGTGAGCGCGCGCATCCGCACCGTGACTACCGACTACGGCGGCTATGCTAGGCAGCCTCCGTTCCGCGCAACGGAAAAGGGAGATCTAACTATTTGCCACCCTTACGGTGGCTGCCCCTCCGTTTGCCAACTTTATCGTGTCAATTACAAAATTGCCCGAGAAAACAGTAACCAGACTAATATTTTACCATTTTTGCTGACGTGTCATGCCAGATCAGCGTGCTAGTGTGGAAGTTAACGCCTCCGTCTCCGCTGACCAACGACGCCCGCAACTGTTCGTCAGCTCCCCCTTGTCCTCCTCCTCGTCCTGCTCCGCTTCGCCACCGGCGCGGGCGCGAGCGCTGAACCGCCTCTCATGCCAGCCTCACATGCCATTGCCAACCTCACACTGCTCGCACTGCCTCTCCACCTGCTGCTGCTCCTCCTAAGCCCTGACCATGAGGGGAGGGCGTTGAGCTACCAAGGAAGCCGACCGGAGCAGGTCGGTCAACACTTGCTGTGTTGTGCAGCCAAGGAAGCTAGCAGCCTAGGAGGAGGATCGAGGACGGACATGTTGGCGCCGCAGCTGGCCGTCTAGGAAGCTCGCTCGCCGCAACGGCAAATGGATGGCCGGAGGAGGGGCGGCGGCGGAGCTGCGGTGGGTGCGGTGGGGTGGCTGCTGCTGCTGCTTCTCGCCTCGCTGTGCGCCCGCTCCCGCGGGCTCAATGCCGACGGGGTGCTGCTCATGGCCTTCAAGAACGCGGTCACCGCAGACCCACTGGGCACGCTGGCCGGCTGGACCTCTGGCTGACGCGCGCGCTGCGGCGCTGAACGGCGTTATGCGCAACGGCTTCGCAGCCTTAACGCCGGACCGGCGGCGGTCAACGTGACCTCCGTCGGCAGCAGCAGCAGCGGCAACTCCGCGCTTTGCACACGCGCGAGCGCTGCGCGCCGCCAAGGCGAAAGCGGGTTTCGGCGCGCGTCGGGCGGCGGCGCATAGTGTTGCGGGTCATCGCCTCGTGCTCCCCAACACGCAGCTCGGGGGGACGCTGCCGGGTTCCTCGCCGCATCAAGCACTGCGCCACCTCGACCTCTCCGGGAACAGCCTCGGCGGCGGCCTACCGCCACGCCGCTCAACGCCACCGAGCTCGCGTGCTCTCACTCGCGAAAGCAACGCCATCTCCGGCGAGCTCCGGACACGGGCGGCGGCCTACGTCTTGCGCGGTCTCCGTGGAGCTCAACCTCTCGGGCAACGCGCGCTCGCGGGCCGCCTCCCGCCATGTTGTGCAAAGCTGCCCGCCTCGTCGTCTCTTGGGCTCGCCAAAGAACCGCGCTTGGCGCGAAGCTCCCCATTGCGGGCCTCGGGGCGTTGGAGCTCGTTGACCTCAGCGACAATGGCTTTAACGGCTCCCTCCGTCCGGACTTGAGAGGGGCACGGCTCCGCTGCTCAACGTTTCGTCGAACAAGCTCGCTGGCGCGGTGCCGACCGAGCTGACCGCGCTCGTCCCAGCGAACGCGACGGTGGACCTGTCGTGGAACAACTTCACCAGCGCGATCCCACAGGACGGCCCATTCGCCGCGCAGCCTGTGGCGGCGTACGAGGGCAACCCGAACCTGTGCGGGCCACCGCTGAAGCAGGCATGCTCCATCCCGTCGTCGCTCTCGAACCCTCCCAACGCCACCGACTCGCCGCCGGCGTTCGCGGCCATCCCCAAGAACCCCGCTCGTGCCCCACCGGGAGCCCCGAGGCAGCCGCGCCCATCCATTAGCAGGACGAGGGGGAGCTGACAAACAGTTGCGGGCACCGTTGGTCAGCGGAGACGGAGGCGTTAACTTCCACGTTGGCGCGCTGATCTAGCATGACACGTCAGCGAAAATGGCAAAATATTAGTCTAGTTACTGTTTTCTCGGGCAATTTTGTAATTGGCATGATAAAGTTAGCATACGGAGAGACAGCCACCGTAAGAGTGACAAATAGTTAGATCTCCCAACAGAAAAGGGACAAGAGAGCAATGTTTTAGGCTGTGTTTGGATCTAGGACTTTCAAAGGATTTCTAGAGGAATCGGTCTTCCTGTAGTTTCGAGTTCTGACTTGACTCCGGTAGCAGTTTAGGAATTTCACGATTGGACTCCGGTAGCAGTTTAGGAATTTCGCGAGAATCAATTTATTTTCAAAGAAAAAACACAGGACATGAGAAAAAAATCCGGCAATCCAAAGGGACCTTATTCTTTTTCATAGGCAGTTCCTTTATTCTTTTGATTCCTGTAGCAATTTTTTTATAGTGGTGATATTGGGGATAACTAATTCTACTTTTTTTTTATTACTACAAGAGATGTTGCAGCACATTACCGATAATCTCCCCAGTTAATTGGACCTACCGTCAGATTATAATTTTTTTATTTTCTTTATTTTTTTTTGTTTCAGTTCCTCCCCGTCGAACGCCGCATTCCAGCCATGGCCATGGCGCTAGCGCCCCATTTCTCGATCCTATCCACCCTTGACATGGTGCCTCTTCTCTCCATGCCCTCTGCCACCGGCCATCGTGCCCCTTCTCTCCACCCCCTCCATCCCTGACCATGGTGCCCCTTCTCTTCTTCTCCCCCAAATCTCAAGTGACATTTCTGCCATGGTAGCTGCCTGCAAGCTCCACCTCCGGGCCATGGCGTCCTAATGCCGCCTACCTGCTATCGCTCGCAAGAACGACGATTATGAGCAGGACCCTCTATACCTCCACGCGGGGTCTGAGGAGGTGGGCCTAGATCATCGGAGGGTGGAGACAACGTCGGAGGAGAGGCTGGCACGCTTGGCGGTGCTCTCACCACCACCATCGAGCTCTACAAAGCGGATCTATGCTGCTCCAAACCCCTACGACGGTGGAGGTTGCGAGCAGCTCGAAGGACGACGACCATCACTACAACACAAAATCTTTCACACAACGTTTGGCTTTGGGGCTCGGAGACCAACAGGCTGGTTGCCCGCCTCCGTTATTCGGTGGCCAAGCAGTCGGACCAGCAACCGCCTCGGTTAATCCTTAACGGAGGAGGGCAACCTAAACCGCCCGCCTCGGTTAATATCGATTAACCAAGGCGGTTATCCTAACGCAACCGCCTCGGTTAGTACATTAAACGAGACGGTCGTCTGAAAGCAACCACCTCAGTTAATCGATATTAACCGATGCAGGTGCTTAAGGTTGCCCGCCTCGGTTAATCCATTAACGAAGGCGGTTGGTACAAGGCAACCGCCTCGGTAAGTTGCCCGCCTCGGTTAATCCTAGGGCTATAAATGCGCCCAGCCGCCAGCCCCCACCATTCTTTCTCACGTTTTCTCCATTTTTGTGGGTTTTGAGCTTCAAAACCCTAAAAATTGAGCCTTTCTTAGGGGGAGAAGTTTTGTCCTTGGATTTGTTGAAGGAGGGCACCGCAAGAGGTTGCTACACGCTCTTCAATCCTCGTTCTTCTCTCTTTTTTCAACATTTTGGGTGCTTTTTTTCTAGATCTAGATCTAGATCTACATAGAGGAGAGAGAAAACAGATCTAGGGCTACGTGGCTACATTTTTTTCAATACTGCTATGCTTATATGCCTTTTTCACTATGTGTGCAAGGTTCACGGGCATGGACAGGGAATGGATGTACCGGACATCGCGGCTGGATCCGGCTTACCTGGTTCAGGTGAAAAAGTTTGTTCCCACTGCTGAAAAGCATCGTTTGAGTATGAAGCGGTCGTGCATCATTTGTCCGTGTAACCACAGCCAGAACAAGCTTGCCAAGGAAGATGACGTGGTACAATCTCACTTGGTCCGGTTTGCTTTCTTCAAGGATTACACCATCTGGAAATTTTACGGTGAAGCAAATGGGAGTGCCGGTGTAGCTAGAGGAAACTCATCGACGTTGACGGCAGTGGTGATTGTAGAATATGACGGAGGACAACAACCCTCATCATCATCATCAGCAGCAGCCGACGAGCATGGCACTGCTGCTGGCAGCAATGCTGATCGTGATTACATCATGATGGATGATTTACTCCAAGACATGGCCAGTGACGATGGCGAGGGGGGGCAGCAATGGGGATGGTGGGCAGGTTGCTGTGAGGGCGCCCAAGGATGTGGAGCTTTTTGAGGAAATATCTAACCGCCTTCACCATGACGACATTCTATTTGGGAGCCC